TCTGATTCTTTTTCAGTCAGAGTGCATCTGCTTGAGAGGTGAGCAATGAACAAGCACTTTGTCCCCATGTTCAGCAGCCAGTGCGGGTCCATTTCTAGTTGTACTCACTGAAATGAATCCTGAAAAATACTAAAACCAACTAACTTTGCAGATCAGGGAGGAAACATGATAAATATATACCAGTGCTGTAATTCTTGATGCGGAGATCAGCATTTAGACAAATCATTAGATCAAAGCAGTGTTTCCCCGTTGTAAATTTGAACAAAGAAAACACAAACAGTAGATTGCACAATTTATTGCTTGGTATATTTAGTTGTATTTCATCAGGTGCATTCGTCACCTGCGCCAGGAACTCTGTATACAGAAAGATGTGGTTCTGTCTTTACAGCTGCCCTGGTAAAAACAGGCAGTCATGTATGATCCTTGTTAAATTTGTAGTCATAAAGAATTCACTTATCTACTTCATTTATGTAATTATTACTGTAGTACGCACCTGACAAGATACAGCAAAATATGCCAGGCAATAAATTGATTATTTATAGCATATAAATTCCAACATTAAGCTACCAGTGCCAAACATGGTCACTATCTAAAGCCCATATACGCAAAATCACCACCTGCGAGATGAGGTGCCTGAGAAAAGCAGCCAACCTAACCATCCGAGATCGAGTGAATAATAAAACTATAATTGTGGGAAAGACACATTGTACTAGATTCATCCAGAAACAGCAGATCAAGAGGTTTGGCCATCTCGTTAGAATGCAGCAAGATCAAATACCATCACAAGCACTACATCTCAGAAGATCAGCTACAAGAGCAAGAGGACGGCTGCGGAAAACATGGATCTTCTTCTTCTTCACTTCCTCTTTTACCGCTGTGGGTGTCGAGGAAGATATAAGGTTCTGTTTCTAGCTCTTCTGGCCGCCTCAACCATAGGCACATCGTGCTGTTGTAGAGTTTCTCTGATGTTATCCTTCCATCTTGTTCTTGGTCTACCTCGTGCTCTACATCCTTCTTCTCTTTCCATGTATGCTTTGTATGGTATGGTGTCACAAAGCATTTTCTCTAAGTGGGCAAACCATTTCACTTGCTGTCTTCGTATGTAATTTAGAATTGGTTCTGTGCCGACTTTTTCTCTTATGATCTCATTCCTGATCTTATCTCTTATGGTCACTCCATGGATCGACAACATTAAAGACACTCTACGCCTTCATGGCACGACAATAGCCAGTGGCAGCCAACGTGCACTGGATGGCAAATTATTCCTTCCCACGCCGCTTAACGGTAGAAGTGGTTTATGATGATGATGATAAATTGTGCAATCAATTGTTTGTCTTCTTTGTTCAAATCATTAGATATACGGTCCCCTCAGCAAATGCATGTTAATGAAACCAGCAACAAGTAAATTATAATCTTTTCAACATCCACTAGCTATGTTCACTTCTGTTGACTTTGGTCTGGTTCAGAACTTGAGTTTTGCTTGCACATCTGTGTTACAGATCTAACTTATTTGTATGCAGAATGTTGGTTTCTCACCTTTCATGCAGATGTACTTTGACTTCAAAAAGAGACACCCTCTAATTAGTCACATTATGCGAAATGCTTAGGGGTGCATAATGGAGCAAATAACCAACATTCAATGTAGATCTCATTTATTTCCTTTAAGCTAAGATGGACAGACAAATTATGCTGAGTTAAAAATCGATACCACAGCACGCTGAACATTTTTTAAAAATTTTTATTCCCATCATTCACCAGTTAGAGTATAAATTCATTTAAATTACAGTTGCGGACGTCAAATTCTCTATACCCATGACTCCCAATTAGCTAAACATGTAGCCAGTCATGATTTTTAAAGGTCCACCATAACTGTTGTCATTAAGAACAAGTATAAAATATGATTAAAAAACACACAAAAAGCCCAGTAAATTTCCAATGTGCATAAACTTTTATTTATAACAAATTAGTAAAGTTACCAAGTAAATGATACACAGACCCTTTGAAATATCTTCCGTAGACCTCTGGACCATAAAATGGAAAAGGCTTTCTTTTATTACAGTCACTAACAAAAAAATAAAGTGTCATACATTAGTACCGTGTCATATCATCAGCATGTGCCATGCCAGTAACCAACAAAGTGGTCATGGTTATCTCACATGATCACCAGAATCACAGATCAGGTCAGTTCCCTGTCCCACCCAAGCATTTACCTCTTTGTCTTGCTTTTGCTTTTTTCCAATGAAGTTTCTTGCCAGCCGCCACCAAGTTTTAGAGTTTATTTCTTCTCCAGACACGTCCACAAATAGTGACTGTCTTAAGTTCTTCTTACCAGTGTTCACCGGCTGTCAACTCTGGCAGAAACTTCTGGACTTTGGCCCTGAGCGTTGTAAATACATTAGTCATAGAGATCTGCAATATTTAGATGCAGACATGGTTCTTTGCTTCTCTGATGGTAACACTCCTAACTAGTCAACTTTTATGACACGCTCGTTAAAGAGGCAATTCTCCCCCCCCCCCCCCCCCAACATGTGCCCCATGGAGCATACGTTTAATTTCTCCAGTTTATGGTCTTCATTTTTTTTTAAAAGGAAGACTGCTTCAGCTATTTTGTGTGAAATTCTTTATATTTTTCTCATAAAACACCTTATGGCTGATTCAATTATAATTAATCTTGGCATCTTTGAAGAAGGCAGCTTGCCATAGCTCCTCTTCTTGGTAGTGACCACCCTAGTGAGTGTTCAGAGCCAGTCACTATATCATGCTTAAAAAATCCTGGTTGTCTTATGTTTAATTTATCAAATCAGTTGATAAGTTCCATTCTGCTACAGAGGTGGAAGTCTAACAGTTAATTCATGACAATTCTTGTCAAGATGATCTGATTATCTATACATGTGGTTCAGTTTTGAGAGGGAAGAGAAGCGCATGAGGGTTCGTAGCGAAAGTCAATGGAAAATCTTTAGTACAAGACAGCCTAGTATACCATACCACCACGTCTAGCATAAGAATGGAGATGGAGGCAGTCACTGCAGCTTTGCGGTGGCTAGAGAACAAGATACTCACACATGTCGTAATTGTAACAGACTCTGAAAGCATGCTGAGAAAGTTGAAGACAGGGTTGCTTCGAGCAGAGTGGCAAGCTTTAGTGGGAAGGTCACAGGTTGTGAGCATACTTTGGACCTTTTTTCCAGACTGCTGGTGTGGTAGGGAATGAACAGGCAGACAGATTGGCTGGATCAGCACCACTGGGTGGTGAACTGATACATGACAAGGCAGACGTGGTCAAGGCCCTTTGGGAACAAGTAATGAAGTTTAAAGAAAAACTGAATTATTATGGCCTGGAGAAATTGATGCACCTGGGTGTAACCAGAGGGTCTGGTCGGCTCATTATACTTAGAGGAAAGGCAAGACGGACAAATAACCAGACCTGGACCAGTACCATCAGTACTGGAACTCTGCGCTGGCTGCGGGGGGACTAAGTGTCTTCTTCTTCTTTCGTTCGCCTGAAATAAGTTGTCTATATCAGCAATTTTGTCTCTTGTATAAATTTCACTGTTGTTAATTCATTCAGTGGTTCATAGAGTTTACGTTCCACTCTTGTTCTTTCTGGCCAAAAGGTTTGCCTTAATGTGTTAAATTCGGTGCAGTCCTGGAGTACATGCTCTGCTGTCTGGGGCACCTTTCCACAGGTGCACATGGCTGATACGCCTATCTTGAATTTTGTGTACATGTGGTTACATAATCGGTTGTGCCCTGTTCTGAGGCGGAGGATAATGACTTGTTCTGATCTGTCCATAATAAAATAGTCGTCTTGTGCTGGGGCTGGTGGTTTCCTGATTGATTTAATGATTCTTTTCTTTTGGTGGTATGTGACTGGTACATCCGGCTGCACTTTTGTCGCACCTTCTCCTGCCAGTTGATCAGCTGTCTCATTTCCAGGCACTCCACAATGTGATGGTATCCACTGCATTACAACTCTTAGCTGAAGGCTAAGTTGTGTCAGCAGTGTTTGCAATTCTGGTAGTTTCCTAGACTGGAGTGCTCCAAGTACTGATTTTGCATCTGTCAGCATTACTACATACTGGGAGCCAAGATTGGTATTTAGCAGTTTCTCTGTTGCTATCTTGATAGCCTGAGTTTCTGCATCATAGTTATGGCAGTACTTTCCGGTTGGTACGCTGGACTTATCCCTAGTACCATCTGGGAATTCTATGTACACTCCAGCACCACCATTTCTAACTGCACTGGGACTGAGTGTATATGGCAATGCTCGATGTCACTTCTTAATTCAACTCAATTCTGCTTGAGGGGCAGCTTCAGTTGATTTCCTGTCAGCCCATTGTTGTTGTTATCGATCCAGCGGCGCATGAGCTTTCACCCTCTTGCCCAATGCCATGCAGTCAGCCCATATTCTCTGCCTTCTTCTCTGAAACCGAATGTGATTTTTTTTCAGTTCGTTAATGGGGAAAATGTGTAGCACTGCTTTTTTGTGTGCAGCAGCAGCAGAAAATTAGGCTACTTTTGACCGTGATGCTACAATGCATCATCATCAAGTATCTTGTCGACTGGCGTAAGACCTCTGACAATGTTAACGTGACTTACTCCATTTAAAAGTTATCGTTGTTGAGTAATGCCAGTTCTCACCACGGGCGCACATTCTGAATTTCACCTCATACCCTGAAGGTTTCACTGTATTTTCTTGGTATCATTCTTGCCAGGGCTTTCTTTCTTAGCAGTGATCATCATCATCAGGTGCCTTGCCGACTGGGCGATCATGCCTCTCCACAATCTGCCATCTCCTGCAGCATGTATCAGTTCGTGTGCCTACACACCTCCATGCCATACAACAAGACTGTCAAGCATCTTCTCTCGTCTTCCTCTATGCCTCCTTCCACAGATCTTTCCAGTGGTCACAACATGTTCTATTTTCCCTCTTCTCATAACTTTGCAGTGATCATGCTGGTCAAATAAACACAGCTATGGTCTATATACTTGAGAAAATATTAATTACTCATAGTTTTATTTAGATACTGCACAAACATGTTTGTGAGCTTACTGTTATCATCAACAGGATGCATCTTTGTGTATGTGATAAACTGACGTCTATGGCGCTGAAGTTCAGCCACACTGACTAATCTACTGAACATTACGTCTTCTTTTGTGTGAGGAATTCTAATTCTGTCACCGGGAACTGCAGTCTTCTGGGATTGTATGAGAGAAGTGATAACATCTTGGGTTGTTTTATCAAGTTCATAGAGAAAATTTGTTGAGGATAAAGGCTGTGACTGTGTTGACTGATTCGGTGGTGGCGCTTTCAGCTCAAATAAAGCATTCGCTATTTCTGACATATCTAAAGAGTTATCTGGAAGCACAGAAAATAACGGCTTATCCCATCTGTTATTTGGAGAAGGACATTCAAACCGCATGATGAGTTCATCAATCAGCTTATCATCATATCTCTCATTCTCACTTCTTGATAAGTTCCATCGCCTGGTTGTGTCAGCATCTGTGACACAATAAATGACACAGTGTGGTGTCCTGCAAGACTTTGTTACACAGTACAGCTCATATCGAAACCCTTTGATGTAGTTCATTGAGTCAAGTATTACAACATCCTCTTTGCCTAGAAGTCTCTGAGCCATGGATTTCAGATTTCCACGAGTTTCACGCTCTTTATGAGAGTCAGAGTAGATTTCATTCCTGTTTGTGTTCTCAGGATGGTCAGAAATTAGGTGAACTTTCTTTGAAGGATAGTTCAGTGTTAGGTATTCATACAGCTGTTGACTGCGAGTTGACTTTCCACTGGCAGGAAATCCGCACATAACAACCAGAGGCATGGTGGGAACAATTTCCTGAGAATACAAAATTGAGGTAATGAGAAAATAAGCAATGTGAATACAGAGTGTGCAATCAATATTATAAATTATTTTATTTTAACTAAGTAAATACTAATTATCTGCAAAATCAAGAACCTTGACCTTATTATGTATATATATATATTTTTTCGTCTACTTTTCATTCGTCCGAGTGACAAAAATGTGTTGTGCATGTTTACAGCAGAGTTGCAATATTTGCACCTCTTGGCCAACACATCCGACTTCATTGAGCATTTGTTGACCAGGTTAACTTCATGGATAGTTTTGTGGGACAGGGACATGTGGCCTTATTTGTGTAGTGTTCTTTGTCTCCTTATCTACAAGTGTTGCCCCCTGGAGACCCCGTCCAGGGCATCTGCGTGTAGACAGACTGGCCCCCAAGGAAAGACAAGGGCATTTTTTGCCATCAAAGGAATGCAGAGCCGACACATGGCACTCTGGTCCTGGGCTTTCCCAAGGAATCAGCACGTCCTGCACATGACTGCTTAGCCTCTCATTTGTATGTTGAGCTTCCCAATTGTCACGGGCTGCATCCTTCAGAGATCAGCAGGGAGCAGCTTGTGGGTCTTGGACTTCCGTGGTCACAACAATGGGTACATGTTTCTTCCATACGTTAGACACATTTAACAGTTTTATCTGAAAAATAAGCAAGACTGTATAACAAAAGCATGCATCTGGCGAGGCTTTCCCTTTTTCGTCCCGACACTCTGGTGAGTGGGGCCAACAGTATTGGACATGTGAACCTTTCTGCCAATAAGTAGGACTTTTTAAGTCAGACAATCAGGACTTTGTTGCTGTGATATAGGACAAGTGTCTGACGGACATTTATGCCATATCAGCTCATGGACAGTGGCAGACTGTCATGAAGCGTCTCTGTGCTGTGATGACGACACTGAGGAACAACATGGGATGTTCAGAGACAGGACTGTTCCGTGAGTTACTGCTCGCAAGAGATATTGCTAGTCTAAGCTGCTAGCAAATCTCTTGTTATAGAGCTAAATCTCAGCAATTAATTAAATAAACCTTCCCACTCTTCAGATGTTTTAACAGATGGTTGTCATTTAGTATGTTTGGCAAGCCACCTATGTTCCAAATGGGCCTCGAAAGTAATTTCCCCCCATGGATTTAGGGTGGTCTGATAAGAGCCAGACTGGACATTACATCTCTAGAGGCAATCAACTCCGAAATCCTCTTTGGTACTTTTCAGAATATCACCCTCAGAAGAGCCCATCTGAAAGGAATTCAGCTCCTCACCAACTCTCTTGTTCAAGGTGTCTCATGTTCTGATCGGTCCCTATCTTACATGGTACTATGCCCTGCACTACTGTCGTTTCCAAGCCACTGTGATATTTGATTTGCCCAAAGCTTTTTTTCTGGTGGCAAGCAACTGTACACAGTACATGCATCTGTTATATATTCATCCTTTTCTGTGGCAAGTACCAGCACCATTCATCTAGAAAGAAGCCATGGGTCTACCCAAAGTATTTCAATTTCAGAGAAAATACCCCTCACTATCAATATTTGAATTATTGAGCTAAATAGTGTGAGAAGACATGTAATAAGATCTTCTGGAGTGGTGATGAGGCAGACCAAGAAAGACTTTAGATACAGAAATTGTCTGACTGAACAGGCTTCAAACATGCAGACATGAAATTCATTCAGATGACGAGGGAACTGACAAGACAGTCAACAGAACTGGTTGCCCAATGACAGGCGCTGATATTGGTCTGATATGATGAACTGAATGGTGTGTTTCTCAGGAGGATCCATTCTCCCATGTGGAATGAACAGCAGAAGAGGAAGAGTCCAACCAATCAAGACTATGGTAGACTGAGAATTTTCAAGGAACCTTAGTTGTGACAGAACTAGAGAATGGCTATGATGAAAGCGATATTTTTTTGAAAACTCAACTTCTTGATCGCATAAAAGTGAAAGAGCAGTTGGTAGGTAGGTTGGTAATTGTACTCCACCAGGACATCACACAAGCGATAAACACCCTGTGACACAAAGTGCGGCTATCCTCTGAATAACGGTCACAAATTATCGAGGCCGAAAATATGCCCTAACAGGGCCTCAGTTATATGTAAGTTGCGGACCTCTTTCCGGCGACTACACCACATACCGCGGAAAAGCTTCCGCAAGTTAAAGTCACCCCCGAGAGTTTCCTCCACGCCGCTAGGTGGGGCCCAGAGGGGCTAAACTGGATTGCTGGGACTCATGAGCAGCAGCTATCGCATCTCCCTGCAGCTTCCTCCATTTTTTTGCTAATGAATCCCAGCCATCTAGTTTAGCCCCCCTCTGCGCTGCGGGGGAACTCTCGACAATGGCGGTATAGTCGTCAGAAAGAGGGCCGCAATTTACATACAACTGAGGCCCTGTTAGATTATACTTCCGGCCTCGATATTTTGGGACTGTTATTCAGAGGATAGCGCCACCATGCGGATTAGGATCACCCGTTGTGGATAGGTCATGGAAGGCGCGTTCAGCCGTTAGGCCAAATTTCAGACTCGGCTATACTTAGTAGGGCCCCTGTCAAAAGCCAAGGTGGGCACTGTGGCTGTGGTTTACAGCTAGGTTGTGAAAATATATGCGCTAACTGGGCCCCATATCCGATTTAGCAAATTCACTTTAATGATATATATGTTAAAGAGTTGGTCTACACCCCCCCCCCCCCTCTTCAAAAACATTTGAAGCGTATGGCTAACCCTAACCTGAAGCAGTATTAACTCTTTGAGCCCCTGGAAATGCATCACGCACTAATTGGTTACTGCCTGGCAGCCAAATAGACGCCTAACAAGTGAAGGTTTTTAATTTACCACTTATCGGTAATAACACGCAAACCGCTCAATTTAAACTTCCTTTCCGGTTCTCAAGCATATAGTGAACACACGTGGGTCTGGTGAGTTTTTAACACTAAAAATCTATATTTGTGTGGTCTACTATGTTACTAAACAATTGTCTGAAAACAATATGTCTAATCAGCCATCATCATCATGCCCAGCAAAGCGATTTACTGCTTTACAAGCATAAAATTTAATAAAACAGTGGATCGATCAAAGTGATGTGGAGCTGGATAATTATAGTAGTGACGTGGAATTTCCCCAACCCATTGATGGGTCAAGTTATGATGAGGAACGTGTGCGTGATTTACCTTCTGCTAAGAGGACAACACTGACTAATTCTGCCATGGCAACACAAGAGAATAGTGATGCTGAAGCACCCCATAAACCGACACCAGATAGTCCAAATGTCAGCGCTTCTTGTACTAGTACTACTAGCAGTACACGTCAGAATGATAGTCGTAGTCAAGGGAGAGGTGTTACTGAGGGAAGAACACGATCACGGTTTCTTTTCAAGCCTCCATGTCCAGCTGGTGTGACAGAACACTGGAGACTATATGTTGTCGTATTATGGTGAGTAAGTAAAGTAAAGATCACTTATTACGCCTAAGGCGCATCGGGTATATGGGCAGAGCGTCTCATATTTTTACAGACCAATCGGCACTTGGTGGGTAATGTGGTCAGCATTACACCGGCCGTCTTTACTTCCCCAGGACAGCCATCCTGGTACCCATTTGAGGCTGGGTCGACCTGCGACGCCCCATATAACGATAAAAATCCACGCAGCCTGCAGTGGGTTTCGATCGTGGTACGTTGGATTACGAGTCAGACTCGCAACGCCTTAGCCATGGACGCTGCGTCGTATTATGGTAGTGTTATTAAAATTGCTATGGAACAATAACTATTGCACATTTTGCTTTGATATTGGCTGTGTATACTTATAAGTGGTGTAGCTTCCTTTTTGACGCACTTTGGATATACTACATCAAGAATTTTAGGATCAGCTTTAGGGTAAGTGGAAAAAAACTTGTTAATAATTTACTAACCTCTCAAACTAAGTCACTGTTTACTAAATACTAACTAACGGTATAATTGTTTGTTGTAGCAGTATGCTAATATTAATCCTTATCCATTTATGTTCATTTTCATGATATGTGTATGTTGCACATCAGCTGCAGTTGTGTGGTTTGCTTTAAATTAAAGTGCTGCATTTGTTCAAAGTTAAAATCATATCCTCCCCCCCCCCCCCCCCCCCATGGGCCTCTGATGTAAAAACCCCTGGGACTCAATGAGTTATAGAACATCTGTATGCCAATGTACACAAACGATTGATTGTCTCCCTGTGGTCGCCATAAACAAACAGTAGATTTCATCTCCCTAGGGTCGCTGGTTGAAGGATTGCCATTGCCCCATATCCATATCATATTTTGTTTACTTCCAACAACACTTTTTACTTCCGGTCAAAATGGGGCACTGTTTGGAGCCGAGGCAAATTTTTTTTTTTTTGCTGGATGGTGGCCGATGCATTTTTGCTCCATTTGTATACTGGATATAGTTTCGTCACCCAGCTTCTGAGTTGAATGCATGGTGTGACGCTATGAGCTATGCATGTGTATGTATGCTAGATTTTCTGAGACAGCAGTCTGTCAATCTTTTCACAAGGGACTGTGATTAACATTCTGTGTATTTTTCGTTGGCACAGGAGCGGAGCAAAGATGGGGTGATCCGTTTTTGCTTGATATGAAGCTGAAACTAAGACTACCAGATATTTTGTTTAAAATTCAATACCATTCACATCACTGCGTTTCATAATTAATTTCACAGCCAGCCACAAGTTGTAAGTGTTTAACCTGGTGTAAACAGTAAAGTATAAGTAGTAACTACTTTCATTTACATCGATATTACGATATTATTTTAATAAAAGTTCCACACAATGATTATGACATTAAAAATTAAAAACAATTACTGACCAAGATAAATTCTGACAAGTTAAAAAAAATTATTTCCACGTTCTGTGGCAAGCTTGTCACTTACATTTGTTTTGTTGCATTTTTAGAAATTATTCCAACTTTTTGTAAGTAAAAGTTTATAAAACGTTTAAAAAATAACTATTCGTGTAGGAATAATTATCCCATTATTATGTATTGTTTTCATCTGCTCATTATGCGTAAAAGCTGTAATTATTTCATTTTTATAAACGTTACATCTTATTTAAATCGTGATAAATTATTACGTTTATATTTTGACTTTTTTTTTAACATTCACAGACATGCGCAGAAATGAATTCTTTAGTTAGCGTTGACAACCGACACAAAATGGCGCACTTACACATCAAAGAAGGCGATTATACGTCAACTATCTACGGTTTCGTAAGTGAACAGTTTAAGTTATTGCCAACTTGCTAAAGATGCGCGCTTAAATAACGCGGTTTTTGTTAAACCTTCATGTAAAAATATTAGAGCCATACTTTGTGGACGTTGTCTTTACTGCCTTGACATTTTTATCATCGTCAAGTATTTTTAGGATAGTTTTACTTTAGTTTTAGTTTTTAATTTTTTCTTGGGCTAGTCGTAAAGCCTAAAGGCTCTTCTTCGAACTTCTTCACCATATTATGGCGGCCAAACAAAAACCCTAACAGGGCCTTAGTCAGATGCAAATTGCGGAGTTCCTGCCGAGGAGCAAATCGCGGCAAAACTAGGATCGCCTGCGAATAATGGGCCAATATTATTGAGGGCAAACAAATACTATAACAGGGTCTCAACTGCTGCTCATGAGTCCCAGTCATCTAGTTTATCGCCCCATCCTTCTTCTTCTTCTTCGCGTTCACCAGCTGTAAACTCTGGCGGAAAGTTCTAGTTGCTCGTCCACTACTGAACTGGAGTCCTGCTCCAGAACCTGAGTGTTGCGTGTGCATCAGTTTTACAGACCTTATTCTCTTGAATAAAGACTGTTGGTTCCTTGCCTCTCCGGCAGATGCGCTCCAACTTCAAAAGAAGCTCCCCAATTAGTCGACTCTTACGACATGCTTTTGGTGAGGCAGTGGGTCTATTCTTTTTTTATCACAATGGAGCCCCGCAACCACACGGGGGTATCGCCCCATCCGAACCATGTGTAGTGGCATGGGGTATACGCTGTGAGTTTAATTGGAAGAACACTATCACTAACCTGCTTTGGAACGCATGGTCTACCCGCCATTTCACTATTATCATGTGTATTGTTGCGTTTCTCGAAATTGTCAGGGGACAGTAATCCTAGTTTTGCCGCGATGTGTTCGTCCGAGGAAGTCCACATTTTAAACATGACTGAGGCCCTGTTAGGGTATTTGTTTGGCCGCCATAATATGGGGACGGAGTTCAAAGGAGAGCTAAAACTTCTAACCCTCTGGAGACAGAGTCTTTTTGGAGTTTTAGTGCCAAAAAGACAAAGCCTTCAAGATCGGATTCTTATAGTTTATACAAAACAAAAAAAAAATTTATAAAACAAATAAAGCGTTTGGCTATCTTCACAATAATGGTCCCAAATTATCGAGGCTGAAAATATACCCTAACAGAGCCTCAATCACATGTCAATTGCGGACTTCCGCCACTGCTGAGAGTATCTCCCACGCTACTGTGGCGTGGATTGGGGCTAAACTAGATGGCTGGGACTCACGAGCAAATAAAATTAAGGAAGCTGCAGGAGATGCGGTAGCTGCTGCTAGTGAGTCCCAGCCATCTAGTTTAGCCCTAATCCACGCCACAGTGGCAGTAGTCGCAGGAAGTGCGCAATTTAAGTCGCCGGAAGTCCACAATTTACATGTGACTGAGGCCCTCTTAGGGTATATTTTCGGCCTCGATAATTTAGGACTGTTATTCGGAAGATAGCCAAGCGTTTAATTACAATTTACATATACAAAACTATAGTATATATATTTGTGTAGGAAACTGAATGAGCTAACAGAGTTTTTATGAATCAAACTGAAATCTCAACATTTATTTCAATTAACTATTCTGATTTGCATAATTTATGCAGCATTTGTTTTTTAAACTTGGGAACAAACATGACAAACCTAACTATTTGGGTGAATTTGTTTATGGATGAAGCTTGAATAAGTTCTAACACTTGTGTTTTGTGAAGTAAAGCCCTTGGAGACACTTCTGGGACATACTTCTACTCATTTTCCTGCCCCCAGCTATGTTTCAATTGCTATGACGCAAGTCCTTTTCGCCATTGTTGGGCAAAGGTAACCCCAGGGACAAAAATTGATGAAAAATTACCGAACACATTCAACTTTCTTGAAAGCCAACAGCAACATTTGCAAGAAATGCGAGAAGCAATCTGATTTGCTGGTATGAAAACCTGCTAGCCAATCTCAAGGCTTGTATAACACAGGGCCGACCGATCGGCCCAGTCATCCTTTTGGCTACTTTGGGCAGGCTGATATTTCGGTCGCGCCATCTCCAAAAGGCTAATAAAAATAAATTTTTAATTTAATTATTAAGTTTCATTAAGCCTTCTGCTTCTTGAAGTCCATGCCATGGCATTGGTAGTCATGTCTGTCTCTATCATGTCTTGTCTCGTATACTTTTTCAACTCTGACACAGATGATCTTCCATGCCATGATGTCAGACCATCCAGCATCTGTTCTTTCGGTTTGCCTCTGCCTTTCCTCGCCTCCGAATTTCCTACCGTCACGATGTACTCCAGTTTTCTCCTTCTCATCATATGGCCAAAGAATGTAGATTGTCTCTTTCTGATGTGGGCAATCAATTCTCTTCAAGAGTCAGTTTCTTTCAAGATGTCTTTATTACTTATTTTTATCTGTCCAGGGTATTCTCATCATTCATCTATAAAGCATCTCTGCAGCTTCCTAATAATTTTTCACTAATTTACTAACTGTCCATGATTCACATCCTTTTATCAATAAAGGATTTATATAGCTTTGAAAAATACTCTTTCTCGTTTCAGTTGACAAAGAAAGGCCTACATATTTTAAATAAGTCAGATTTTCAAAATTATTTTTAAATAATGCAGCTAGCATTGTTGGAAAGGTATTGAAAAATGCCATCCAACGGCACCTCATTCATATTTCTCTGTGCGTCACTTCTAAGCCAAAATATTAATTTGTTTAATTTTAGTTATTATAAATAACAGGAGCAAAGAGGAAAATACTTTTTAGCACATTCATATTGTGTGTCCAAATACTTGATATTCTTGAACTTGTTTGTTTGTGACCAAACATCATAGCAACCATATATCGCTGTGTTTGTGCCAATGACACCCCTCTGAATTATAGGATAAATATATCCCCCCCCCCCCCCTTCAAATATTTTGTCACATAATCACATTAATTTTATGTTCATAATGGCTGTCCATTTATTACTCAGAGGCAGATAAAACGACCATATACTGTTGTGGGGTCAATGAATAGAGCTTTCAGGTCAAATTGCTGGTTCAACATTTAATTATTAGACAAATTAATAATTCAAAATAGTCATCAATTAATTTTAGTCATTCAGTTCTGATATTATAGTAATAAATAATTGAACAAATAATATAAAGTTATTTAATTTATGCTGGCAGATAATCTGACCTTATGGTCTTGTTGCTGCTGTGTTATTTTGGATTTGCCCTAAGCAAGCATTTCATAAGATGAAATTAATTAAGGCTTTGCTGAAATCAGACTGAAAGGCCCAAATATCACAGCCTTTATGTGCTAACCATCCCTTTAAGGACAAACAAATTCAGAGAAAAGTGTGGGAAAGTATACATTCTTTTTAATACATATGTGACTGGTTTATGATGAGATGTATAGTTAATACTGTTGGCTGTGTTTATGGCTGCACAAATGTTTTTGAGGTCAGGATGTGATTATCTATATATATAAAAATCAATGTTTGTGTGTTTGTTTGGTCTCTATAGACTCGGAAACTACTGAACCGATTTAGCTGAAATTTTCAGGATATGTTTGTTGTGATACCGGATTTTGAACCGTCGTGGTTTGAAATTCAACCTGTCACTGTTAGAGATAGGTGACCACAATTAATGCCAAAATATACGCAACTAATATTTATAACTTTAGTGATTTCTAATTATAGCCACGTTAGTAATTGCGCATGCGCCGTATTTACCATTCGCCGGCGAGTTACTGCAGCCAACGCCTTCTCTAATACTAATACATAGAGTAGGTCGTGGTACAGCCAAACAAGACTATCTCTATATTTGCCACAATAACCATATTAAACACGATTTCTATTTTCTGGTTTTTTTTTTCAAACAACCTTCGATGCTTGGGGGGTGGGGGGGGGGGGGGGGGGGCAATCAAGGACTATCTCGACGTCGGCGGAGACATTGACTGCGTCATTAACTTCATTAGACAGGTGCGATTTCCATTGTCTTTCTTTTCTAAAAACCTTTGATGAGGGAGAGGGTACTAGGTGGATTTAGTTGTGGGGGGGGTTGGGGGGGATCAAAGACTATCTCAAATTACGCCACAGCAACGCGTGGCCGGGTACAGCTAGTATTAACTAAAAATGGGGTGGGGCGGGGGGGGGGGGGATCTCTCAAACTAAGCAGTTAAAAAAAAAGTCAAGTTGAGTTGAATATTCCATAAGCTTCACAGCATGAGTTATCCAATGTGTATAGTTTTTTGGCCCCGGAATGTATTCTAGGTAATGCTTCACTCTTGATTCCTCGTAATATATCTTTAATTGGGGGGGGGGGGGGGGGGGGGGCTGTTAATGTACATAAGTATATTTACAATTTTTTAAATTGACATGTGTAACATTTTTGCTGTGCAAGGATTGTTTAGAAAATTACCACGGGATCCTGACATTTGTTAACCTTACCAAGGTGGAAGGATTAACATGTCACATTCGGGGCAGACCTGGCGTTTGTGTTCTGCTGAGATGATGTTCCACATGTGCACATAGCCAGTCTTTGCTGTTATGGTTGGAGAGATGTGGTTGAGGATAAGCTCTCACCCCTCACCAGATTCCTCTAAAGCATGTGCATTTATCATCTCTGCTAGCAAAAGTCCAACTCCTGACCTTCTCATGACAGAACTGTTTAAACTTACAGGAAAAGGTGTGATGGCAAGTATCTGGCACAATAAAATCATACTTCTTTTTGAGCATTGTAAGTCTGCCCTAGCAAAAGAAGGTGCAGAAGTTGGTAGCAGCCAGTCAGGAGGTTCACCACGGCAGTCTAGATCTGTGGACACACACAGTGGAAATATGTCTTATATTCAGCATGTCTTTCATTAATATATATGTGCTAGCCTGCTGACCTAAAGGTCTTGGGTGCAAATTTGCACTGAGGAATTTGCTCAAATTACCAGAGATGAGAAGATTTTCATTATAATTTTAGTACATTAAATGATAAGCTTTTGAAACATAAACATGGTTTATCTTGTTTTTTTTTTTTTTTTTAAACATAATGGCAGATAAAAGATCAGAAGTTTAATGATGCAATCCAAGTATTAAATCATCATCTTCAAGGGGAGACTAAGGTAATTGTTTTAATTTCCAATCATTATTGTGGCAAACAGACCAGAAATAATGTTTGGCTGTGAGTCTAACATGAATTTTATATTACCTGGACAAGGTTTACATGTGCTAATATACATACTCATTATGTGTGACTTCTAGGGCCTCAGTTTTTGTGTGTGCAAAGGGGGGTGGGGAGGTGGAAGGGGTGTAGAATGCAGGTACTTGGTCGCCACTGATGAGTGGGCGAAGCTTTCACTGATGTGTGCGTATAGGCTCCACTAATGTGTGTTTTTTGTTCCATGATACGTACATATGCGATTAGTTCGAATGTTAACAAGTTAACATGATTTGGACAACCCAGAATAGCTCATTCTAACAAACCAAGTCTAGTATATGTAAGGAATCATTTTCGCAGTTAATGATGGACAAGGTCCAACAGGAACAATGTAGAAACTTTAGATGCCACTGGACAACACACAGTAATAAAGAACTTCAGGAAGTCTCAGCATTAATCAGCTTGATAAGGCCATGCATTCGTAATACCAATGATGGTATTTTAACGAAGTTTTCCAGTTCTGATGAAAATGAGCGAAAGGTCTTTGCCTCGACCTTGGAAAACAGTAACAGTTTTTACAATTCCAGTAGGCAGCCAAAATACTGATGAGCAAGAATAGTTTGTCACTCCCAAAAATTATCTAGCTGAAATGCTGATACCAGTTCTCATGCAGTCTGTTGAAAACTATGACTATGTAGATACAATGGTTTACATCCCAGCCTAGAAACTTATCTTCCCTGTGGGATCCAGGATAAAATATCCTACTAGGATCCACAACCTTGGATTCACACGTCCGCGCAATCATCTAAAACTATACATAACAATTACTGATGTCTTATTTGCGCTATTCAATATTGATGTACTTTAGTGCGGCACTTGCATGCGAGGGGGGGGGGGGTGTAGTCCCACTGCCCTCTAAGCATGTAATAAAAGTTGACTAATCAGGGGTTTGCTGGAATTGGACATGTTGGGCCGAAAAGCTCAGATGGTCGATCTTTGGTAGTAGCCACAGCAAATGGTGCCAACTTCCCTTGTTAGGGTAAACACATAAGAAGATAAAGAAGACTGGTATACTGTTGGGAGGTAGTTATGATTGTGTTTAAGAAGACTAATTTATCTTCAAAGCTATCTAGCATACACATTGTATTATGTTGCCTGGCCAGGGTTGACAAGCCACAAGTATCCCCACACTGTTAGGTAATCTTGTTCTTCTTTCTAGCGTTCACTGGCTGTAAACTGAGATGAACATTTCTGATTGTTTATCCACTTCTGGACTCTAGTCTTGTTCCACAACTTTAGTTTCGCATGCACATCCATTTTACAGATCTGCCTTTTTTATATGCAGTCCATTAGTTCTCCGCCTGTCGGGCACATGCATTCTGACTTTGAAAGAAACACCTCTGATTAGTTGACTTTAACGACATGCTTGTTAGGGAAGCAGTAAATCTGTCTCCCCTCCCCCTCTTTCCCAAGTGGGGCCCTGGAACCCACACAATGGAATTGGGTAATCATACAATGATTTCGCTATGACATCCAGGAGCCGAGCTAGCACAGTGATTAGCATACTTGCCTGCTGGTCCATAGGTTTGAATCCACATTAAGGTGGATTGTAAAAACTGATATTGGCTGCTCTTTCTTAAACATCTTAAAAATAAATATCAAGAAATGTCATGGCAACTTAAGGCGCTCTCATGATATTGACATCACTCATCGATTGTTCTGTGCTGTATAAAACTTCAAGGTGAGCACCATATTGCAGTACTCTTCCAGGTAAAGAAATCAGTCCTGGGTATCTTTATTACTAAGCAATTTTTCATCATTCATTGAAGTTGACACATTTGTTTTGACAGTGTACTATGCTTTTCTGAGCTTTTTGTATTTCCAGTTGTAGCTTTAATCCATTCTACCCTCTTTGTGGCTTAGGTGGCTTTTGTCCTAACTTGTAATTATTAGAACCAATTTGGACCCAAATGGTTTTTACTTAACAACAACTGCTGAATAAAGGAGGTTATCGAAACACATGCCTGCTACTGGCAGTTAGAAGTCATTAACAGTTATGAGTTGGGTTATCTTTGCAGCTTTTTGGAACTATCCATAGGTGCTCAGATTTCTCACTCGGCATATACATCAGTGCCTTACAGTTAATTGGAGCAATCCCATGCTGGGGGACAAGACTTCTTGTACATCCAAGGTGCCTCTCTTGCATTTGAAAAACAATCCTTGTTAGCCACAAAATGTGTTTGGTATGTCACTCATTAGCGAGGTATCACCATACTCTATTAGGCAAATAAAAGGCTCTAGAAGAAGTATTTTCCCTTCTTGATTGCAGGTGTGTCTCTAGATCATAACTGCCTTTCAGGCCAACATAGTAAGGAAAACAAGAATATACCCACTGCCTACCCTCAAGCGTGTCTTAAAAGTCGACTGATTGGGAGGTTCCTTCAAAGTCAGTATGTACGTCTTAGAGGCAAGGAACCGACAGTCTGCATACACATCAGTCAGGTCTGTAAAACGGATGTGCATGCAACACATGGAACAGTACTAAAGTTCAAAAGTGGACAAACAGCCAAAACTTTCTGCCAGAATTTACAGCAAGTGAAGGCAAAGAAGAATAGATCATAACTGTTTCTCCCTGTATGTGTTCCAGGGCCCAATTATAGAGAAAGCAAAAATAGACCCACAGCCTTCCTAACAAGCATGTCGTAAGAGTCGACTAATTAGGGGATCTCCTTCGAAGTTGGATTGCATCTGCCTGAGAGGCTAGGAACCAATAGTCTGTCTATAAAGTCAGATCTGTAAAACAGATGTGCATGCAACAATCAGGTTCTGGAACAAGTCTGAAGTCCCGAGGTGGATGAACAACCAGAACTTCTTGTCTGAGTTTACAGCCTGTGAATGTGAAGAAGAAGATAACTTTTGTCAAGTCTTAGAAAATGTAACCTTGGAAACCTGAAATATAATTCTCTGGCATGGTGTATTTTATCTGATTCAGACTCGAGCAGCCCTGTCCCTCCTGGCATACTGTTACTATCAGGTGCAGGACTTTGTTAACGCATCAGATTGCTATGAGCAACTGGCATCGTTACACCCAGAGGTGGAGGAGTACAAACTGTATTACGCCCAGTCACTGCACAAGGCTTGCTTGTTTCAAGAGGCAATGAAAGTTGCCTGTCAGATAGATAATCCCAGCTACCAGGGTCGGGTATGTTTTCATTTAACATTGATAAACTTAGATGAATAACACATGCTAAAAAGTAAGTAAAGGACCCTTTCTGACACCAGTGGTGCAGTCAGGCATACGATGGTAGACTTGTATAGAGCAGTTGGCACTTGGCAGGTGATGTGGTCAACATCATGTCAGCCACCTTTACTTCCCAGAAAATGAACTGGTTCTCACGGTTGGGTCAGCCTAGGAGCCAAAATCAGCTATGAAAATATCCATCTTGGTGGAGTTTGAACCTAAGACCTTCAGACTGATTGAAGAGCGTCTAGTCACTTAGCTACAGCAGCCCCCCCCCCCCCCCCCCCCCCAAGTTAGTTTACCCCCCCCCCCCCCCCCCAAGTTAGTTTTACTGACCTGGTTATGACATGTTTGTAAATTTTGTGCTTTTATAGTAATTAGGAGAGCAGGGGCTGCCATGATTGATACATACAAGGACACGTCTTGGAAAGTACAGGTGTCGGTGTGACAGACCACATCATCCTCTGGGACTCAGCTGGTCTATAGAAATATGGACCTACCACCATATGCCAACTATATCTATTGGTTAAAGGTTAGAACTGAGAGGATCAACTTCATTACACTGGGTTTTATCCCACATGGCTTGGTCTCTGTTCACAGAACAGCTAGCCGCCTGCTGAAAGCACAGCACAAAGCATGAGCACTGTAGCTTTAGTGACAATCCCCAGGGGTCTCTGTAAAAATTGCGCTCGTGAACCGATTGATGCATCTTCAAAACCAATGGCCTAAACACTTCACCAATTAGATTGGTGTGGAAATGCTTTGACTCACTTTATTAATTTTTGTATGATCTTTTCATAGTCAACATCACTGAACATTAGGCATTCCATATGTGCTCAGCGGCGATACAAAGTACCTATTCTAACTTGTCCCTTTAGAAGTTGGTTACAGTGCTTGCCATCTTGTCCTCGCAGAATCAGTGGTTAATTTTCTTATATTACTTTTGCTATTTCTGTTGTTAGTTTAACCTATTCAACCCATAACATGTTGAAAAAAAAATTTGTTTACATTTTACCTTGTTTATTCATTGTCCACCCATGACTATGCAGCATACAGTAATGTAGAACAAATTTAGTAACAGTGATGAGTGAACAATTATGATGTGTATTTCGATTTTCCTTAGATGGCATTTCATTCTCCACTCCTGTTCCCCCCCCCCCCCCCTTTTTTCCCCCTAAAAAATACCTGAAGTCTAACTGAAAGACCAAATTGAAATATTGAATGGAAAAATTACTGACATAAGCATGTAATTCTTGCTTGTACTACTCTCTTCTGTCTCCCAGGTTATGAAACTCCAAGCTGCTATCAAATATGGTGAAGAAGATCTGTCAGGGGCTAAGGTAAGTGTTAGTGTAAAAATAATCAAGATTTATTTAAAACTAAAGTAAATTTTATGAAGTAGAGGATCTAAGGTGATCTTGACTACATCATCCATCGAGAACCATCGCTCTAAGGTCCATTAAAATATGAGTCCAGCATTATCTTCTTAGTGCGCTACAGCGGTATAAAAAGTATTTAACCTTTTTAGGGTCAAAAGTACTATATAATATATGGTAAAGAAGATTGGTCAGGAACCAAGGTAAATTTTACCAGAGAAATTGTGTATAAGGTCCATCTACAGGTATGTTTTACAATCAGATATGAAGAAAAAGTTCATTCTGGCACCAAGATACATTTTACCATCAAATAAGGAAGAAAAAGAGATATAGAGGAAAAGATCTGTCTGGCACCAAGGTACATTTTACCAACAGTTATGGGGGGGGGGGGGGGGGGGGGGGGGGGATCTGTCTGGCACCAAGGTACATTTTACTATCTTAAATGGAGAAAAATCTCTATCTGGCACCAAGGTACGGATTACTGTCAAATATGAAGAAAAAAAACATGTCTGTCTGGCACTGAGGAACAATTTACTATCAGATATGAAAAAAACATGTCTGGTACTGTGGTACTGTTTACCATCAGATGTGGAAAAAAGGATCTGTCTGACACCAAGGCACATTTAACAGTCACAAATAGCGAAGACAGTTGTATAAACTCTAGTCCTGGAAAGAAGGTTAGGGGAATGTTGATCCACGTTCTTCCCATGGTTACAGACTAGGTTCATAGAGTTAATGTGATGTGGGCTTTGGTTGAAAATTGAAGCTGCTTGCTGTGGGATGGTTTATGTACCCAGAGGCTGTGGCTGTATGAAAAGATTGAGGATGATTGTGATAGAACACAGCCCTACTTTCAGTGTCACAGTGGATTATCCATGCAGCATACTCAGGGATTAAACCAATGGTGTAGAGTCTGGTACAATGATGACTCATGGCTGTAATATAGAGTAACAATAAAGTGTGTTGTTGCAGTTCTGCATTGCCTGTCCGTGAGCCACCATGGTTCTGGTGCTCCCTGGTTATATGGCACTAACTAGATCATCATGACCTGAATAGAGTGATGCAGCTAGGAAGTTACCAGGGGATCTTTCCGACACTCAGGCCAGGGCAAGAAGGACATACAGTCACAATTGCTACTGGTACCATCAGAAATGGAATTTTGTGCTGGCCGTTGAAGATGGGGCAAAATGCTTATGAGAATGTCCGCAGTTCTATAATATCAATTTTAACTTAACTCAGTTATATGGAGCTTAGATCTAATCCATGAAGGTGCCTACCAGACAGAAGTACTAAATACAATGCAGATGTGATCACCCACCAGAACATCAACTGAACCTAGTTGTGAACAGGACTAGCACATACATGTATGTGCATTGTCTGTATGTGTGGAAATCCCTGCATGTGTTTGTTTAAATCAGTGTCTCTGTAAGTGTGTGTATGAGGGAGTTGAGAGAGCAAGCAGAAGAGAGAGAGAGAGAGAGGTAGGGAGCAGGAAAGAGAGAGAGATCTGAACCTTTGTTTAAACATGAAAGTAATATTTATTATATTCATGAACAGAGTTTAGTGGAGCAGTGCCCCTCTGATGACCCAGATACAGAGATCAACCTAGGATGTCTTCTTTTTAAGGTATTGTCCACAGTCTATTTTTTTTTTTTATAATGTCTGTGGTACGCACACCTTATTCAGGTGCTAATTTCATATTGTAATGTAGTTCTGTATCTGTTTGTTTGCATACTGACATGACTCATCATACATGAGACACATCCAGTTGTTATCACAGATCAGATTGAAACACGTGAACATGATCGAGACCCACTTGGGTTGCCTGCTGGGTGATAAACTGTGGTTCCAACAGATGAAGTCTAAGTGTGGGTTCCCGGGCCCCATTTTGGGGAAATAAAATTGACTTGCTGCCCTCTAACAAGCATTTTGAAGGAGATAACTAATTAGAGGTGGTTCCCTTGAAGTTGGAATGTATCTGCCTGAGAAGCAAGGAATCAGCATTCTGTGTACAGATAAGCCGGACCTGTAAAATGAATGCACACACAAAACTCAGTTCCTGTTACAGTGTCAAAGTTGAGAAATGGACAAACAGCCAAGTCTTTCAGGAGATTACAGCTGGTGAACAAAAATGAACAAGAAGAAGAAGAAGATCCCCTGTAACAGGCACAGCTGCTGGAAGATATGTGTTTTTGTGCTGGAGAAAGAACAGAAGCTAAAGGAGCCCCAACCTTGCACATGGACATGTGCACCTGATTCCACAGCGTGAAGTTGATTTTCTCAGCATGAGATTTGGCTTTTATTTGCTTAATTTATGCTCATTATTTTTGCTTATCTGATGACATTTTAGACTGTATATCATATTTACTCATATATAGGCCACAGTATTTTAACTGGACATTGTTGATGAAAAATAAGGTGCAGTTTATATTTGAGGTATTAGGCCTACATGTCACATGCCCAAATTTATGAATAAACGGTAGTGTTCATCTGCATTCCCAAATGCCATCTTGCCGTAGTTGTGTGTCTTCTGTAACTTCAAAACGTGTCTTTGAAACCAAACAGTTTCTCCTGGTAGGTGTTGAGAAATCACTGCATCGTTGTTGTCCGCCGCCGAATCACAAGATCGTTGTGTGCTGTAAAGCGCCACACCCAGCTGTAACTGGCTTTAAATTCACTTGTACATAATGCATTATTTGCAGATCAAATTTGCAATTATAGCTTTCTTTTACACAACCCACCTTTCAATGCTTACAGGTACTACTGTTTCAGTTTTGGTCTCTTGATAAAAATGTAATAACATTTTTTTCCCCTAAAATTATTTTCTCAGAAACTAGATGCAGCCTATACACGCATGCTGCCTACATACACATTAATACAATATATTTAGAACCAGAATATTAATCTATGTTTACTTTTCTTAGACATGTTTATTTATTTGTTGTTAGTTATCATGCTGCGTATAGTATTCTTTATAGAAATATATGTATGCTTTTAGGAAAAGCGATACGAGGAAGCTTGTGAGAAATTTATGGGGGCCATGCAGGTGGTTGGCTACAAGGCAGACTTGTCCTACAATATCGCTCTGTGCCACTACATGTTGAAACAGTATGCCCCCGCCCTTAAGCACATTGCTGACATTATAGAGAAGGGCATACGGGAACACCCAGGTACTTTTGTTTGTTGTCACAATGGCTATTTATTGCCAGTCTGGCATGTTGTGTTGAATACATTCAACCATGAAGCTAGCTGTGCTCTGCCTTTCTGTTGTTTGGGAAAACTTATTCTTCTACATTCCCCCTTAACAGGACAGTTGGCAAGTTGTGATTTACAGCTAGGCTATGATATCTGCATCTTTCTACCCGACACGTCCAGTTTAATTAAACCTTAATTAGTCACCTTTTATGACATGCTTGTAAAGGGACACAGTGGGTCTATTCTTTTGTTCTCTCCCCATACTCCAAACACCACCATAAAAATAGGGCTCCTGAACCCGCTTAGATATTTAGGAAAGCCAGTGTGATGGTTTTCACCTGATTTCCACATCAAGTTGTTAAGTTACAAGACTAAATGGCACCAGTTATTTCTTCATTTACCCGTAAGGGTTCCTGAGCCCCATTTGGTGGTATGGGGGGAATAGACCCACTACCCCCCTAACAAGCATTTTGTAAGAGGTGATTAATTAGGGTATTTCCTTCAAAGTTGTAGTGCATCTGTCTGAGAGACGAGGAACCAGCAGTCTCCATACCTATAAGCCAGATCTTTAAAGTGGATGTTCAGGCAAAACTTCAATTCTAGAACAACACCAAAGTTCAGAAGTGGACTAACAACCAGAACTTTCTGCTGGAGTTTATAGCTGATAAACACTAAGAAGATTAATTTCAGGAGCATCAAGCAATCAAGTTTACTTTTCCATCCTTGTTAGTTCATTAAAAAAAAATGAATTTTAACATAATCATTGTGATTAAGTTTACTGTGCGCATTTGTTGAGGCAGCGGTCACACCCTGGGAAATGGCTTTGACATGCCGGCTAAACCAGGCATGCAAAGACTGGAATTGGCTGAGCATGCGGAGGAAATTAATGCTTGGTTCAACTGATCTGGTGATGAGTACCAGCAATGCACTGTGCAGCGTAGAGAGCACGGTGAGGCACGTAGAACCCCCTGGTCATCATTTGTACCTGACTTTATCTTCAGTCATCTCGAATTGTCCTGCCACTAGATTCAGATGGACACAGGCGAGAGTTTGAGGTCAACAACTCCTCCTCACTTTAACCAGTTTGTTGTGCAAGTCACTCTTTCATAACTTCATTAGACCCTGACACTTGTGAGGTTGCTGCACCAGACCGGACTACATGGTAAACGTCTAATCGAAGAGGGCAGAGACCGTGAGGCTTCAAGAAAAAGGCAGGTTAGAAAGACCCAAGACCCGTACAGCAGGCCCCTTACCTACAGACACTGTTCCCTGCCCTCATTGTCGTAGATCTGTGCGGGCCAGTACTGGGCTTGTAAGTCATCTCCAGACTCACAGAACCCAATTAAAGTTTCATGACGAATAAAACAGTAGTTCTCATCACTTGTGACGAACAAGATGCATTTATAGATTTAGCACATAACAGTAATTCTGTTTTGTTTCCTTCATCATAAATTGTATGTTTTCAGAGCTGAGTGTTGGTATGACTACAGAGGGCATTGATGTTCGCAGTGTGGGAAACTCTCAGACTTTGCATGAAACTGCTCTGGTGGAGGCCTTCAATCTCAAAGCAGCAATGGAGTACCAGCTGAAAAACTGTACGTTAACTAACTTAACCTGTAGAGCTGCCTTGTTTAGTCAGTAATATCCGCACTGTTACAGTTTCACAGTATCATTTCTTATTTTCCATCATTTGTATCAATACAGAAGAATGGTTGACGCACAACTTGCCAGTAAACAGATTTCTTTTCTATTTTCTGTACTAGTTGTCGCATTTCAGTTTTTTTTATGGTGGTCGTTCTTGTTAGGGAATCTTTAGATTTGATCATTCGATTTTTCATCTCTGTGTTACATCTTTTTTCTGATGTCTATGTGTAGCCTTGATATTGAACATAATAAAATTGTGAGTTTTTACCTCATATTGGAATTTATGTTTTTTTTGGAAACTACATAGTCTAATAATGATATTTTCTTCTCTCTGTTTCGACTGATTTGTCTAGAATATTTACTTCAGTGGAGCAGCCATAGCATAGTGGTAAGATGCTTATTTACTTGCCTAAAGGTCTAGGGTTCAATTCCAATTCGAGGTAAATTTTTAAAAAAAAATGACCTTGGCTCCCAGGCTGACTCAGCCTGTTATAGGTACCAGTCAATGTCATGGGAAGTAAAGGCAGCCAGCATGATGTTGACCACATCCCCCATCAAATGCTGATTGGTCTACACAAAATATACATCCAGCATTCTAGGGCCTGATGCATGAGAGAGATGAAAAGAGACCAGTACTTACTACTTACTTCATTATTTTCACTTTGCTACTAAAACTTGTCTTCTTTGTATTGACTGTCTGTAAACTCCAGCAGAAAGTTCTGGCTCTCTACTTGGGTCTTGATCCAGAAATTGAGTTTTGCATGGACACATGTTTTACAGATTTGTTTATTTGTATGCAGACTGTTGGTTCCTCACCTCTCAGGATGCACTCCTGCTGTTAAGGAAACACCCCTAACTTGCCGCCTCCTGCGACATGCTTGTTAGGTGGCAGTAGGTCTATTCTTTGTTTTCGTGAAGCCCTAGAACCCATGAGGAAAAACTGTAAGTAAAAGTCTGGAAGTACCTTTTTCCACACTTTAAAATATTTTGAGTATATGATACTAGTCTCATATTTTTATAGCCCAACTATCTGTCTGGACAGATATAGTCAGTACCTCGTTGACCACAGTTGCTTTTCAGAAAATTTCCTGGTACCAATTTTAGGCTGGAAAGACCTTTAGCCAAAGTCAGTTTTAAATAAAATCCTTCTCAGTAGAGATTTAAGTCTATGATGGTTGAGCTGTCAGGCAAATGTGATAGCTAGCATGCATCTGTGTCTCTTTTCTACTGACTTACACTATTATGTGAATGAACTGTAAATTACAGATTAGAATTCTCCTATGTTTTGTTCCAAGTATGTGTAAAGTTAAAAGTTGAGAGGATCTCATCTTTGTTGCAATGGGATGTAATCCTTATCTCTGGGTCCCTGCCTGTAGAATGGCTTTCCACCTGCCAAGAGTGTCGCACAAAGCCTGACTTCATATCTCCAACAAGAATGCTCAGTGTTCTCTGTAAAAATTGCACCCGTAAACCAAACAGTGCAATCTTTGAAACTTAATCGACCGCCTTCAGAGCCTCCCGGCAGACAGCGTAACCACTTAGCCACTGGGACCCCTGCTAAAGTATATCAATATGGAAAAGTCAAACTGATTATGCACAAATCGGCGACCGGGTCACCCATTGGTTCGATGGTAGATGATTTTGTCGCCATTCGGGAGAGTATTTGGGTCTGTCTCCTTTGATCGCATCAGCACTGCGGGAGTCCTTTTAAGGGCTTTCAATGGCGTGCGGTGCTAAGCCACTTTATATGGCGCACATAACCTAGTCGCAGTTATAACTTAAAAGCTCTCCCGTCAGGGATGCTGATTGAACGTGCCGATTTTTTTTCTTCCAGCAAAGCACCTACTACCTACATTGATTATGTAGATACATGTATTATCATATATTTTGCTAGATGATGCAGCTGTAGAGGCTTTGACTGATATGCCGCCACGATCCGAGGAAGAACTTGATGCTGTGACACTGCACAACCAGGCCCTAATGAACATGGAGAACTCCCCCACCCAGGGCTTCACTAAACTGCAGTTCTTGCTTCAGCAGAACCCTTTCCCGCCCGAAACATTTGGCAACCTCCTCTTGTTGTATGTGAAATATGAGGTCAGTGGTGTTTGTGTTCTCATTCTGACCTGAATCATTCTCTGCTAAATTATTTTCATTTTGTATTTTTTTTTGGTTTCTATATGCAATACAAATAATTCTTGAAATCTTAATGAAATGTATGTAATGACTATAACAACTGGAGAGGAATTACTCTGTTAAAAGTAATATCAAAGACTTTTTGTAAAATAATTCTCAGTAGAATTAAGTGGGTGGTGGACAAAATCCTGACAGAGAAACAAGCATGTTTTTGACCTGGAAGAAGCTGTTTAGATTAAAATATTTACCTCGAGGCTTATTTTTGAGGAATTTATTGAAAAACAACAACCCCTTATTTTGAATTTCATTGACTTTAAGAAGGCTTTTGATAGTTTACATAGAACCTCACTATGGGGAATTTGGGAATGCTATTTTATACCAATGAAAATAGTAAATATTATAAAGGCAATATGTGATGGTTCCGAGTGTGTAGTGCGAACAGACAATGGTTTAAGTGATTGGTTTGAAGATGATACTGGAGCAAACCAGTGATGTTTTTTGTCTCCTCTATTATTTGGCATAACCCTTGACTGGGTGATGAAGAAAACATGTTTGTGTTGGTAAGGCTGATATTGACTGGGTGAAGAACACACAGCTGGAAGATCTTGATTTTGCTGATGCTGTTGTTCAGCTAAGTATAAACAGCAGTGACATGTACAGGAAAACAGATGATTTAGAAAATATAGCATCAAGGGTTGGACTACAAGCAGATTTAACACTAGAGAGAAGAGTAGTTGAAGTAACAGGTCAATTCACATATTTAGATAGTAATTTTCATAATTAAGGAAATACAAAGACAGAAATTTAGACACTCTTTGGCAAGGCATCAGCAGCTTTTAATAGCTTGAACAAAATATGGAACTTCTAAATTAAATTGTTCTTAAACCAAGTTATGTATTTTCAGTTCTAATGTCATTTCAGGTTTAACATTTGCGGATGAAATTTGGGGAACCACTAAAGACATGGAATTAAAGTAAAATGCATTTGAAAATAAATTTCTGAGGAAAATGATGAAATTAAAATGGGATGAATTAAAAAGGAGTGAAGAAATAAGAGAAATGTCTGGACAGCCACTAGTATCAACAATCAACAGTTATAAGACAGAGAAGATGGCACTGCATTGGACTCATCCTGAGAAGAAACCAGCAGAGAATCATCAAACAGGCGTTAAAATGAAAAATGGAGAGATTAAGGAGGCGAAGATACCCAAAAGACAAACGGTGATGAGAGAGGCCAAAACTGCTGGGCTGGATTCCATCCATGATATTGAACTGATTGCACAAGTTAGAGCAGAATAGAAGAATAGACTCTGAGCCTTTATGACATAATAGCACAACAAGAGAATGAATTAATGAATATGTAATGGCTTGCGAAATCTACTTCAGGTTTCATGAAAATGAGAGTGGTTGAGTTCTGTTTTTCCCCCTCAAGGCTGCCTGGAGGTTTGACCTCCTGGGAATTAAAAAATCTCAAGCCAGCAGGGCAAATCCCAGATATCCTGTTCATCCTCCAAAGAAGTAAAATCAGGGCACCTATAATGCCACACTACCCTGGTGTAACTGCAGTCCTGTGTGGGTAAGGCGGAGCTCATGGTTAAGTTGTGTCTATTTGCAGCAAAGTTGTTAATGCAGTTGCCCGTATCATGGGTGTAACAGGAATAGGTCTTGGCTAGGCCTTATTTTCTGAGCCTGCTGTAAGCTTTTGACTGCATTAATCTCTTATACTTGTGTCTTCATCCCTTTATAAATTTACATACATCTCTGCAGCTTTTGTTACTGTACTTATTTCTACACTAAAGCCACTCTTATTATTGCACTGTCCCTTTTTTTTCCAAAATAATCACCAACATTGATACATTTGTCCTATCATTTTATCAGTTCTCCCAAACCTGCTACATAGAACTGTGTGCTCTGTTTTCTAAACCACATTTTCACTTCACATACAACTTCTACGTCATTCGCGAAATGTCTCCCGCCAAGGTGGGTTTTCAGTGGACCAAAATGGTGGAAATTGCTGAGGGCTAATTCGGGGCTGTAAGGTGGATGTTCCATAAGTTCCCACTCCAGATGAATAATTTTCTCCGAAGGTAACCAAGCCGTAAGTGGTCTGGCATTGTCATGAGGGAGCAGTACTCCTCTGGTCAGCATGCCTGGATGTTTTCTTCAAATTGCATCATGAAGCATCGATAGGACTTTACAGTATGAATCAGAAGCATTTCCTTATGAATGTCCTTTGCAGACACCTATTTTGAACACCACCACCCCCCCCCCCCCCCCCCCCCCCCCCCCCCCCCCCCCCCCCACCCCCAACACACAGCAGGACATTGTTCTTTAAGGGTACACTCAGTAAGTACGGTCGCCATTTTGTTTCTGTGTTGCAAATGCGCATGCAACACCTAGTGCCACCTAACGAACGGAGACATAAAGTTCAATGTTGCTGTAACCTCATGACACCTTTAGAAACCACTAACTACATTTTCCTGCCATCGCATAACCATTTGTACCTTACTTATTGACTTTCCATTGTTTTTTGCTGTATCTCATTAGTTGCATGCTACAGTGTTTGAATAAAATAAAGCCGATAATCTGAAATACAAAATCAACTGCGCTTTACCCTGGTAAACAAATTAGATTTGTAAAATATAGCATAGTGTTACCATGATATCTAACTGTGCCCCTTTCATGAATATACATTGGCCACATGTCATTTTGTAAGTAAAGTAAGTTAGTAAAGATCCCTTTTCACGCCTTAGGCGCATCGGGCATATGGGAAGAGCATCCCATATTTTTACAGACCAATCGGCACTGGATGGGTAATGTGGTCAGCATTACGCCGACTGTCTTTACTTTCCCAGGAAAGCCATCCTGGTACCCATTGTAGGCTGGGTCGACCTGTGACGCCCCATACCATGATAAAAATCCACGCAGCCAGCAGCGGGATTCAATCGCGGTACATGTCATTTTGTGAGCTTTTATATTTTTGCCAGCATAACTTTGTCATGTTATTTCATCACATTAAAACATGTGTCTTGCATTTGATGTAAATAAAACAATTTCTTTCTCTTCAGTACTATGACCTTGCTGCTGATGTCCTGGCAGAAAATGCTCACCTCACGTACAAGTATCTGACCCCGGTAACCTCTTTGTTTTAATCTAGTTAGAGAAACTGTTTATTTTAAAAACATAAAACGCAAAACCATATTACAATAGAAATATAATGTTATAAAATTGAAAATGAATATTATATGTGTCTATAGTATGTATGTAACCAGTCCTCTGTCCAGTACAATTTTAGTCATAGTAGATGGACTGTAACTATAGTATGTATGTAACCAGTCCTCTGTCCAGTACAATTTTAGTCATAGTAGATGGACTGTAACTATAGTATGTATGTAGCCAGTCCTCTGTCCAGTACAATTTTAGTCATAGTAGATGGACTGTAACTATAGTATGTATGTAGCCAGTCCTCTGTCCAGTACAATTTTAGTCATAGTAGATGGACTGTAACTATAGTATGTATGTAACCAGTCCTCTGTCCAGTACAATTTTAGTCATAGTAGATGGACTGTAACTATAGTATGTATGTAACCAGTCCTCTGTCCAGTACAATTTTAGTCATAGTAGATGGACTGTAACTATAGTATGTATGTAGCCAGTCCTCTGTCCAGTACAGTTTTAGTCATAGTAGATGGACTGTAACTATAGTATGTATGTAGCCAGTCCTCTGTCCAGTACAGTTTTAGTCATAGTAGATGGACTGTAACTATAGTATGTATGTAGCCAGTCCTCTGTCCAGTACAGTTTTAGTCATAGTAGATGGACTGTAACTATAGTATGTATGTAGCCAGTCCTCTGTCCAGTACAGTTTTAGTCATAGTAGATGGACGCTAACTATAGTATGTATGTAACCAGTCCTCTGTCCAGTACAGTTTTAGTCATAGTAGATGGACTGTAACTATAGTATGTATGTAGCCAGTCCTCTGTCCAGTACAGTTTTAGTCATAGTAGATGGACTGTAACTATAGTATGTATGTAGCCAGTCCTCTGTCCAGTACAGTTTTAGTCATAGTAGATGGACTGTAACTATAGTATGTATGTAACCAGTCCTCTGTCCAGTACAGTTTTAGTCATAGTAGATGGAATGTAACTATAGTATGTATGTAACCAGTCCTCTGTCCAGTACAGTTTTAGTCATAGTAGATGGACTGTAACTATAGTATGTGTGTAATATGTCCTCTGTTCAGTACAGTTTTAGTCATAGTAGATGGACTGTAACTATAGTATGTATGTAACCAGTCCTCTGTCCAGTACAGTTTTAGTCATAGTAGATGGACTGTAACTATAGTATGTATGTAGCCAGTCCTCTGTCCAGTACAGTTTTAGTCATAGTAGATGGACGCTAACTATAGTATGTGTGTAATATGTCCTCTGTTCAGTACAGTTTTAGTCATAGTAGATGGACTGTAACTATAGTATGTGTGTAATATGTCCTCTGTTCAGTACAGTTTTAGTCATAGCGGATGGACTTTAACCATAGTATTATTATGTAATAAGTTTGATTATTCTCTGCTGACTTTTCTTCAGTATATGCTCAATATATCACTGACTTCTTTATCTTATAACCGTGGATATCTGTTGAATATGTGCACATATAGAATAGTAATCCATTTACTTCTTGGATAGTCATATTAGTTGAATCGTTCTCTCTTCATTATTTATGTATGTATACAATAATAATCCATCTATATACTTTACATTTGTATTTTAAAATCATCTCCAGTTCGACGTACATGTACATTAAGGATACTAATTCATGCGCTTACTGCATTAATTGAATCATTTCATCATCAGTATATGTATCAAAATGCAATCATCCATTTCCTGTATAGTCATATTGGTTTAATTATTTCCTTGTTACTACATATGTACATATAGAAAAGTAATGCTTTTACACACCGAGTGGTCATATTCTTTGAATAATCTTCTTTTTTTATTGCATTTGGACATATAGAATAGTAGTCCATCTACTTAAGTATAGTCTAATTCATTGAATCATTAACTCTTTGGTACGTAAGTATGTATAGAATAAGAATTCGTCTATTAAGTATCTGTGTGTATTTGTTGCATTGTTTCCTCTTCTGTACATAACAGCATTAGAATTGCAATCCACCTACATACTCTGTGGCCATATTGATTGAACTGTGTAATAACATACTCTGAGGTCATATTGATTGATGAAATACTTCTCAGTACTTGTACGACTTCCTGGAGGCAGTTATAACTAGACAAACATCACCAGAAGAAGCTTACCGGAAGCTGGATGAAATGGCCACTGGTCAAACAGAAACTCTACGCAAACTGACCAAACAGGTGTGGGATATATTTGTATTTGTGTACATGTGTGGGTTTTTTTTTTGGGGGGGGGGGGGGGGGATTCTTCCTTTATGTCTTTGACCCTGTGGGATCCATTACCAAGAAATTATAGTTCTAATTAAACTATTGTCATTGATTTTTCTGAGTGTATGAACCAGCATCACCTTCCCTTGGGGGTTCTGAGACCCCCTTGAGGGGAGGGGGGATAACATGCTCTGTGAGTTGGTTACAATCACAGCATGTGTGTACAGCTGATTCTCAAGCCAGCGGAAGGCAGCAGAGACTGCCTCCCCCACCATTCTCAAACTGGATGTGATTTCATATGTAAGGCTTTGCTGTACCAAGCGACATCCATTCGCCTGTACCAGGCGACGTCCATTCACCTTTGCTATGAAACCCCAGGCACTTCATCTGCCCTTCAACACAGAGCCATCTCTATAGATAATCACATCACTTGGGCGGGAATTGTCATGAATTATTTGTTCTTTTGATTCTGCAGCACCAGCTGGCCAGTCTCTACACTCACAACCTAATTTGATTAGAACCCTACATAAGTCTGAAACTTGTTTGGACACCTTGACCACTTCTCTGTTTGCTCAAAATTATCAAGCCTGCACACATGTCCAGTTGGGTCTTCAGCTTGTGCACTCTAAGACCTTCCTCTTTTTAGTCTGACCCTTAGCTCTACCCAAGGCTTCATGCAGGAGGTGCTTCTTGTCTGCAGCTACTCTGAGATATGACTTTGCCTGCAGAACTTTGAGCCTGTCTGCCATAGTAGGCAGTGCAAGTATATATTGCATACATACTACCAGGGTATCTATTGTACATCCCAGAGTTACCCACATGGCTTCATTATGTATGCATTTGATTTTTATCAGCTGACTCTTTGATATAGTAAGCATTCCAAGTCCATAATCTGTCACTGACAGGATCACATGCTGGAACATTGTGAACAGCATTCTTTGTTCTATGTATATTGCTGCCATAATCTAGAGAGCATTGAGTCCTTTTTGGCATTTCACCACAACTGCCTCCACATGATTCCTATAGAACAGGCTTCAATCGAAAATGATACCCAGGTACCTCATTTTGTTTTCTCCTGTGATGTTACTGTTATAAAATGTGAGGCTTAGAACATCAGCTCTTACAATTCTATTCTCCAGAGAACACCACAAAACAGCTGCCTTTTGTCAGTTGATAACAGCCCTTGGGCTATCTGTTTTCTATCATTTCCTTGCCTATGTGCAAGAACATCATCAGCAAATGTTAGTTACTTTAAACACCTGTTGCTTCAAGGTCTGCAATCTTGTTTGAATACACATTTAAGAGCACCAGTGAAATTGCAGAACCCGGGGGTAGTCCTGGGGCTATATTACATGGTTCTGAGGTCCATGTACCCAGGCAAAAAGCAGTCATACTTGGATGCAGGACAGCTGCTATCCAATTCACAAGCCAGGGACAAACCCCTTCTCCATGAGTGCAGATATCAAAATATCATATCTGACTCTTTTGTAGGCATTCTCAGGATCAAGGGGTCCCACAACTGTCTCCCTTCTGTTCTGGAACCCTCCATAAACATGAAAAGCAAAAGTAGCTGCATTAGACCATGTATCTTTCTGTGGCCGGTAACTACCCAAAACTTTTGGCAGCAGCTCTTTCCTTCCCAAAAACATTTGTAGTTTAACAGCAATAATCTTCTCTAGCACTTTCCCAAAGGATTTTGTAAGGTGATAATCCTGAAGCCGCTGAGTCTGGAATTATCTTTGCCTGGTTTTGGAAGGGGGATCAGGTAGTTGTGTACCCAATCCTGGGGTACTGACACTCTGGTTAAAGTGAATTGCCATCTCCCTCAAGTCTTCATCACTCATGCTCTTCATGTGAGCATACCTCACTCCGTCTGGCCCCGGCACTGTGTCTTTTGCTTTTTGCAATGCATAATTTATATCCTCCACCCTAATGATATCCTGAAAAAAATTATCATTTATGGTAGTGAATTATTGGATTTGAATAATGGGTTCATATATAAACCGTCAACACATAGGTTCAAGAGTCCAGACAAAACCATGATGAAGAATCTGTAAAGAAGGCAGTCAATGAATATGATGAGGCATTAGAAAGGTAAGACTTATGTCGGAGGAATTCCATTAAGTATGACAGTTATCTGGAATAGACTCATAGAAATCAAAAATTATTTTTGATTAAAAGAAAGAGACAAACATAATTTTTTTAGTTATCTCGACTCTGCCTCCCTCTCTCTGTCATTCTGTCACCATCTCTAACACTTTGTCTCTCTCACTGACTTTATTTCTGTTCTGTCTCTTGGTGTCTGTCTGAGATACTCTCTGTGTCTATTTTTTTTTTAATTGTTCTCTCTGTCTCCACCCCTCTTTCCCTTTCCAGCCACCCAGAAACAAATAGTTGTACATTTTATCTTAAACTAAATTATAGCAGCACTGTAATGTTGTGAATTCCTGGGGAAATCCCAGAGAGTTCTCGATGGGGAGGACAAGGTCAGAGGACCAGTGATACAAGAGGAAAACGAGATAAGCGGGTCTCGAGTATCCCGTGGTGAGTGAATAAGGGAATTAAGAAAAGCGTGAGACTGGAAGGGAAGATGTGAATCCAGAGAGGGTAGCAAGACAGTTGAAGTTCGGACCTGGTTGTGTGCCGTCGTATGAGAGAGAACACCTGACGAGAATGGAGAACTTGTGACCATGTATAATTGTTCGAGAGCAGAGATGAATGTTTTCCTGATTGCCAGTTTTGACATGTACTAATACCAGGTAAAATGCGTTAGTATGATATTGATGTGTGATCCGAAAGATACGAACGGAGCAAATCATCGTGTGAGAGAGTTGGCCAGGTCATCAGAAATCAGCTATGCATAGCGACCACGAGGACGAAAGAATGCGCTGTCAGTGAGATGTTTGTATCAGCGAATAATGGTCAATAACCGAATGTTCGTCTTCTGGTGTGTCCTAGCAACTATGTGTACGTCAATACAGCAATGTGGCGTGTAGAATCAAACCCCTAGCAGAGCACATTGCAAGCACCATGTTTTTTTCTTCACTGCATTCACCAGCTGTAAACTGCAGTAGAAAGTTCTGGTTGTTTGTCCACTTCTGGACTTTAATTTTGTTCCAGAACAGGAGTTTTGTTCATGCACATCCATTTGATAGATTTGGCTTATAGATATGCATGCTGTTGAATCCTCGCCTCTCAGGCAGATGTGCTACAAATTAAACCTGATGCACATAACAATGATAAAAAGCACTTTTGGACACACATTTGTCATTCATTTACAGGGTACTGTCGCGTGCGGATGTGCACCAGAACGCACCAGTACTGAGTGAGCGAATAAGACGTCAAAACAATACGTAACGTTGTGAAGGTATTGTTGTCAAAGGCAGTCGATGTGTATAGTCCGAAGGAGACGGACGTGTGTATCCTTGAGGACGCTCTACCCCGGGATCCCACGGAAGCAAACGTTATATAAAGTTGGATCCTTGAGGACGTTTTACCCCGGGACTCCAAGATAGACCTCAGCAGGAAGCTGGTGAACGTTACGTTTCGGTAGTAAGCCGGTATACCTTCATTATTTAATTTAGACGGATGAACTGAACACAAAGATGATTGTCTGGATCTCAAGGTCGGACTGCGACCTATCGTGAGGACATATCAGTCCATGGATGTACGAGCGAGCTTTGGTTGAACGAGTTGAATTATTACTTGCATATTTCTCATTGTGTTGATTATCGATATTGTCAATACACAAATGGAACTTTTAAAGAGAGTTCTCGTTCTGCTACGTTTGGCAGCTTCAGCATTCATCATGTTGTGTTACTCTTGGCCAGTGGCATGTTAAGTGTTGATGCCTTTTGTTACATTGCGACAACCCCTAGTCACTTTTACGCTCGTCACAATCAATCAAGCTCCGCACGTTACAGGTGCCAGATGTGTATACTGATTATGTGACTTGTATGGTATTTTACAATGCATATATTTCATGCATGCTTGATCTAATGTTGTAACTTCAGGTATGTGCCCATTCTGATGCAACAAGCAAAGATCTACTGGGATATGGAGAACTACCAACAGGTAGAGAAGATATTTCGCAAGTCAGTGGAGTTCTGCAATGAGCATGATGCCTGGAAACTCAATGTTGCCCATGTCCTGTTCATGCAAGAAAACAAGTACAAGGAAGCTGCAGGCTTTTATGAGCCCATTGTTAAAAAGAATTATGATAATGTAAGTTTTGCTGTAGACTTAGTTCAAATAAGTATTGCAGTAGAGTTTATTTTAGTGTTGGTATAGTTACAGTTAATGTTAGTGTTGGTATAGTTACAATTAATGTAAGTGTTGGTGTACTTGCAGTTAATGTAAGTGTTGGTTTTGCTACAGTTAATGTAATTTTTTTCTGTAGGTACAGTTAATGTAAGTGTTGCTGTAGCTACAGTTAGTGTAAGTGTTAGTGTAGTTACAGTTAATGTAAGTGTTAGTGTAGTTACAGTTAATGTAAGTGTTGCTGTAGATAAGTTAATGTAATTGTTGCTGTAGATACAGTTTGTGTAAGTGTTGGTGTTGTTACAGTTAGTGTAAGTGTTAGTGTAGTTACAGTTATTGTAAATGTTGGTGTAGTTACAGTTAATGTAAGTGTTGGTGTAGTTACAGTTAATGTAAGTATTGGTGTAGTTACAGTTAATGTAAGTGTTAGTGTAGTTACAGTTAATGTAAGTGTTGCTGTAGATACAATTAATGTAAGAGTTGGTATAGTTACAGTTAATGTAAGTGTTCCTGTAGATACAGTTTTTGTAATTGTTGCTGTAGATACCGTTATTGTAAGTGTTGGTGTTGTTATAGTTTGTGTAAGTGTTGGTATAGTTACAGTTATTGTAAATGTTGGTGTTGGTACAGTTTGTGTAAGTGTTGGTGTAGTTACAGTAAGTGTTGGTGTAGTTACAGTTAATGTAAATGTTGGTGTAGTTACAGTTAATGTAAGTGTTGGTGTTGTTACAGTTAGTGTAAGTGTTGGTGTTGTTACAATCTGTGTAAGTGTTGGTGTTGTTACAGTTATTGTAAATGTTGGTGTTGTTACAGTTTGTGTAAGTGTTGGTGTTGTTACAGTAAGTGTTGGTGTAGTTCCAGTTAATGTAAGTGTTAGTGTAGTTACAGTTAATGTAAGTGTTGCTGTAGATACAATTAATGTAAGAGTTGGTATAGTTACAGTTAATGTAAGTGTTGCTGTAGATACAGTTATTGTAATTGTTGCTGTAGATACAGTTATTGTAAGTGTTGATGTTTTTACAGTTTGTGTAAGTGTTGGTGTAGTTACAGTAAGTGTTGGTGTAGTTACAGTTAATGTAAGTTTTAGTGTTGTTACAGTTAGTTTAATTGTTGGTGTAGTTACAGTTAAAGTAAGTGTTGGTGTAGTTACAGGTAATGTAAGTGTTGGTTTAGTTACAGTTAGTGTAAGTGTGATGTAGTTACAGTTAATGTAAGCGTTGGTTTAGTTACAGTTTGTTTAAGTGTTGCTGTAGTTACAGTTAATGTAAGTGTTGGTTTAGTTACAGTTAATGTAAGTGTTGCTGTAGTTACACTTAGTGTAAGTGTTGGTGTAGTTACAGTTTGTGTAAGTGTTGGTGTAGTTACAGTTTGTGTAAGTGTTGGTGTAGTTACAGTTAGTGTAAGCGTTATTGTAGTTACAGTTAGTGTAAGTGTTGCTGTAGTTAAAGTTAATGTAAGTGTTGGCATAGGTACAGTTAATGTAAGTGTTGGCATAGTAACAGTTAAAATAAATGTTAGGGTAGTTAGAGATAATGTAGATGTTGGTGTAGCTAGAGGTAATATAAGTTTTGCTGTTGTTAAAGTTAATCTAATAGTTGCTGTAATTGGAATCAATGTAAGTGTTGCTTTAGTTAGAGTTAGTGTAACTGTTGGTATGTTTGGAGTTCATGTGTTTCTTTTATGCAGATGCCTAGTCCAAATTGCTTTCATTATATTTGTCATTATCATGTATATTTGACAATACAAGTTATTTGTTGTCAACTGTTCTTTCCTCAGCTGTTGAGTGTCAGCGCTATAGTGCTGGCAAACTTGTGTGTCTCTTACATCATGACCAGTCAAAACAATGAAGTAAGTTGGTTAGGTAGGCAGTAGCAACAGCAGTATCAAATTTATAGAGCTTGATCTGAGTCTAATCTTTGTTCAGACTAATCAGTCCTGATGATTCCTGTAACTGAACGTAAACTGAGGTCCCATTTTAGTGGGGCGGGAAAAAGAATTGACTCACTGCCCCCCTAACATGTCGTAAGCGGCAACTAATTAGGGATTTTACCTATGAAGCTGGAACGCATCTGCCTATGCGGTGAGGAACCAACAGTCTGCATACAAGTGTAAGCTAGACCTGAAAAATAGCTTTGCACACAATATTCAAATTCTGGAATAAAACTAACACCCAGAAGTGGATGAAGAATCAGAAATGAATGCAAAGAAGAAGAACCTAATCCGAACCATTCGACTGAATCGTACTAAAACAATATTGTGGGTCAGTAGCCACTCACCTGGGAAGTTGAACCCGGGTAACAAATGCCTGAGAAATTATATCCCCAGATGAACACAGTGGAAGAAGAGTCACTTATGAAATACCGGAGACAAAAGACGTGGAACAAAAGTTCTTAAGGAAAATATTGAACATAAAATTGGATGAATTCAAGAGGAATGGAGAAATAAGAGAAATGTCTGGGTAACCACTGGTAACAACAGTTGTGAGATAAAGAAGACGACATTATATTGGAAATTACCTGAGGAGAAGTCAGCAGAAAATCACCAGGTACTGAAATGGGAAATAAAGGGGACTGAGGAAGTGAGGACGTCCATAAGAAATCAGAAAATGAATGTTGATGAGAGAGGCCAAAGATGCGGGATTGGATTATTTCCATGATAATGAAGAGACTACACAGGTAACAGAATGGAGGAATAGATTGTGAACCATATGTGATAAATAATGGTAGAACAGGACAATGATGATGATGAATATTGGGGAGCTGCAGTAGCAGGTAATGATAATTACAAAGAAAATGGACACTCCAAAATGCAACATCAAAGTTAATGGGACAGTC